CTTCCTCTGGAAATATGTAACAGTTCAGTACCTCCAAATGGAATTCTCAGATCTCTTCAAAGTAGAAAGTAAATAAAAATAAGGCAGTCAATGAATAAATAATGTTATAAATCAATTTTCAATAGCTGGCTGTAACCAAAAAGTGTGCAACTTTATTTTTTAGGCACCCAAAATCTTTCTCTGCGGAGTTTCTCAGAAAGCGAAGTTGCCCCTACACTTCCAAATAAATTAATTACAAGGCAGAAATGCTACAGACTTTTACTATGAAAATTTTAGAATGTGATTATTTTAGTGTAGGAAATTAGCACCCACTCCTTTCCTGGAAGAATGAAATATTTTAGGAAATATTAAAAAGGCAGATTATATTTCCCTGGATGAGAAATGGAGAAACATGTTTTAAAGACAAAGCAGCTTCTTGCCTCCTCCCCCCCACACCTTTGTCAATGGGCAAGAGGCAGAAACTCAATCTTTCAATCTTTGAAACTCATCTGCAACACAATAGGGCCCATCTAGCACAGAAACTAACACAATAGCGTCCATCTAGCAGCAGAAACTCACCACATGGCACCTGAGAAGATTACATCAGCCAGCAAGGTTAGCTAAGACCCCCACCCCCTGGGAGTCTAACAACCAATCAGGATACTCTTTCTGGGCACCAGGAAGTTCAAAGCCAGGGAGAGCATAGAAACCCGTGGACTTGCTTTATTCGTCCCTTTTTCTGTTCAGGAACTCAAGCCATGTGATTCTGTCCACCATTAAACCATCTTTCCAAGCAGTTTCCAGTGTCTTTTTCCCCACTTGGAGCAGAACCCAGAAGGATATTTCTTCCAACATTAGTACTAATTTTTATTTAACCATGATTCCTTTAAAAAATATATTTCAATTACAGATCAGTTACAAGGTTTTTTTCCTTAGCCTCTAAGAGTAATTTAAGGACATTGAAAAGGAAGAAGAAAGCACTTCTGAATAAATGCTTTGGTTACAAATATATAAATATTTATTTTATAGATATGAAAATATGTGGAAAACAAGCTTACAAATACTGGGCAGTATACCTGAAGTAGGCTTGCATATTATTTCTTTTCAATCTTAGAGAAAAAAATTAAGTAACATTCTGGATGGATAACTAAGATCCTGCAGGGTCCCTTCTGGGCCTAAGTCCCCTAATAGCAGTGATGCCTGAGGCCAATACTACATTGTAGAAATTAGATGTAGTGCAAATTAGATTTTTTTTTATTTCAGAAACATAGTGGGTTTACAGAAATCTGCTTTTTTTTCTATTTTATGTGTCCATGGTTTGCTAAAAATCATGACGTAAAACATTTTCAGGTTAACAAAAACTACAGAACTAAGCACAATTATTTTAATACACTAGTTACACTTCAAATTTTAATAACTATCGATGGTTTCTATTCACATGTGAAGGTGAAAAATATATCCTAACAAGTTCAGTTTATCACATGGGGTAAAGAAAACTAATCATAACTAAAATCCATTGCCTAGGAGACTGGATTTCAGTATATTAAGTTGTCGATATTTTCAAGCAAAATTATCCTGATTTGGTTTATAATATGCTAAAATAAATTCATAACAACATTTGGAGTTTATAATATATATATATATTATAGTAGATTGTACGTATTTCTACATTTTGTATGCATTGAATACATATAACAATAATAGATTAAATAAACAGCATCTACATGAAACTTTGTATAAATAATATTGATGTGACAATGTAAACAAAGTCATAAATCTTAAAAATGTCTACTTTCTGAAAAATAATGGGACTGTGGAATATTTAAAAAAGATACTTCACATTTGATTCACTCCGAATAATGCAGAGAAATGTAATCAACATAATTATAACAACTAGAATACAAAGAGCATCCAAGAGCAATGCCCACTTTTCTTGGCAATTTAAATGAAATAACTATTGTATTTTATGCTTAAGAGTAGTATAACTAATGTAGGAAGTCAGCACCCAACCCTTTCCTAGAAGAATGAACTATTTTAGGAAATATTAAAAAGGCAGAATATTATGTTTCCCTGTATGAGAAATGGAAAAACATCTTTTAAAGACAAAGCAGCTCCCACCTTCCTGCCTCCTCCCTTTTTGTTAATGGGCCAGAGGCAGAAACCTAATCCTTTGTCAAAGGACCATCATCTGCAACACAATAGAACCCATCTAGCAACAGAAACTCACCACATGGCATCTGGGAAGATTACATCAGCCAGCAAGGCTAGCTATCACCCCCCCCCTCCCCGGGAGTCTGACAACCAATCAGGATACTCTTTCTGGGCCCCAGGAAGTTCAAAGCACAGAGAGTGCATAAAACCAAGGCACGCTCAGCATCTCTGCCCTTTTCTGTTCAGGAACTCAAACCATGTGATCCTGTCCACCATTAAACCATCTTTCCAAGCAGTCTCCATGTTTCCAGTGCCTTTTTCCCCACTTGGAGCTGAACCCAGGAGGATATTTCTTCTTACGCTAATATAAAAGGAATGTATATTCAATTGTGCGTTAACACCTAGTTGGGTAATGAAATGTCTGCAAGCAAGGAGCCAACTCAGAGAGCAATAAGAGCTCAATAAATTTGGAGTCCCTCAGCAAGTTGCAATGTGGCAAGGATATTAGTATTGTGTAAAATTGTTTAATTATATGCCATTCAGGGCAAATATATAAATATTAGTTAAGGCCTCATGCACTTAATGGGATTATGGCAGCTAGGTGTATATAGCACAGTTGTTTGGTTTTAATTTAAATACTTAATGGGGCCTAAGAAGTTAAAACAAATACCCCATGAAAAACTGGTATTTTAAGATCCAATTCAAACGGAGTGTAGGAAGTTACCACCCACCCATCTCCTAGAAAAATGAAATATTTTAGGAAATATTAAATGGGCAGAATATTTTCCCTTAAAAGGGAGGCAGAAGCTCAGCCCCCCACCTTTTTAAATGGGCCATTAAGACCTGAGCCAGTCCATTCTACATAACAAAGGTAGGATTAGCCCTCTACTCATCTAGCAACAGAACTCACCACAAGGCACCTGGGAAGATTACATCACCTACAGCAAGGCTGAACCAAGCCTGGAACTCAAAACACAGCCTACAGAGTTGCCCCTGCATGGCCCCATGGGAGTTTGACAACCAATCAGAATACAAGCTCAAAGTCAAAACAGTGACAGTGGGCATAAAACCAAGGCACTTTCAGCATCTCTCCCCTTTTCTGCTCAGGAACTCAAGCCATGTGATCCTGTTCATTAATAAACCACCTTTCCAAGCAACTTCCAAACTTCCATGAATCCAGTCTTTTTCCCCACTTGGAACTGAACCCAGAAGGATATTTCTTCCAACAGGATTCACCTTCCATGAAGCTATTTTACAATTTACAGATACATGTTATAACAGTAACACAGTCATATGTATTTATATATTTCTAAGTTTGTAAAGGTCTATTGTGAAGTTTATTGGGGGGAAGCAAATGATGGCACGCACAAAATTTTCACACGTTCAGCTACAGGTATCAAACAACAGCATTTGGATGACTTATGTCAAGGAACATTTCATTAATTTAGCGTTACAGTTTGCTATATAGTGATTTATTGTATATAATTGAACTTTTATTGACTATTTTGCACTGTAACTTTTTTCCTACACCATGACATACTGCAGTGCTACAAATTTAATCCATAAGGATTTGAAGGTATATAACTCCAATAAATATTGTTGATCGTATTTTATTATTTAATTAAAAAATTATTAAAATAATATTGTAGACAAGAGCCAATTTGGTCTAGTGGTTACATCATCAGGCTACAAACCGAAGACTGTAAGCTCTAGTCCCCCTTTAGTCCTGAAAGCCAGTTGGGTGACTTCGAGCCAGTCACTTTCTCAGCCCAACCCACCTCACAGGGCTGCTGTTGTGGGGAAAAGAGGAAACAGAAGGAGAGTTAGGTATGTTTGTTTCCTTGAGTTATTGATAAAAATTATAAAGGTGGGATAAAAAAAGAAGAAAACCAACGCCTGAAGAAAACCATAGTACTGAAGAAACCTTACCACACAACTGTGATAGCATATAGTTATTGCAAAAGTGGTAAGGTCCATAGAAATACTTTTCAACCGTCATCATTAGGATATTTTCCTAATATTGCCTAACATCCATTATGTGGCAAGTGTCAGGAAATTGCCTCCATGCAAGGCACCCTGTTTATGGCCTTGCAAGGGCTACCGAGCCAGAGGCGTCTTTCACGTGTTTCTGCTTTCCCAAGATGCGCCTTAAGCAACTCGAGGGCGAATTCTTCCAATTTTCCGCTCACAAATCGGCGCATCGCAAGCACGAAAGGCAACAGCAGCACGACTCAAAAAAATAAAATAAAATAAAAAAAAAACCCACCAAGAACAACCTCTTGCCTTCCGCCCCACACCGAGTGGGTTACAAAAGTGATCGGGGGAAGCTTTTCTAAGTAAGCTCTACGCTTACAGTTAGCCCATGGCGGATTCTCCCGACCTGCGTGCCCTGTAAGAGGTTCAGCCCGCCCAAAGAAGTAGCACTTGCGGGCGCCACAACCCTTTCTTTTTTTTTTTCCACCCGGGGAAAACCCCGTCCCTGCCTTTACCACGCGGCCTCCGATCCCGAAAGGGAAGGGAGACGCGCCAAGCCGACGATTTGGCGGCGTCCACCGTGGGAAGAAAAGGGGGGGGAGGGGGAGGTGGGAGAAACGTGGGGCGGAAGCGGAGAGAAAGAGCACGAGAGTGGCAGAGTGTCCCCTAACGGCTTTCTCCACCAGCCCATAACCACGGGGACGTGGGCGGGGCTCAGAAGTGCACGCGGGAGGAGGAGGACTGGTGGGGGGTGGGGGTGCGTTCCGTGCATGCGTGTGGAACCGAAGAGGGCACTGGAGTCTCTCTCTCCTTTTTTTCTCGAGCGCGCGGGCGGGCGCGCGCGGCGGCAATGGCTGGACTTTGTCAGGCCGCCTGGCGCCCCCCCCTTCTCCTCCTCCTCCTCCCCTCCCCTCCCCTGCACATTCTATGTCCCGGGTGGCCGCAGCAGTTCCTCGGGGCCCAGTGTCCTTGTGCGGAAATGACACACGGTCCCGTCACGTCACGCGAGAGCGGAGCGCGCGGACCCTCTCGCACACAGATACACGCGCGCACACTCGCGCCACACACACACACACACACAAAGCGCCAAGGGGGTGGGAAAGCTGGGGGAAGCCAGACACGGCCGTTCTTTTTTTTTTTTTTTAATATATATATATATTTATTTATTTTTTTAAAAAAAACACCCACAAACCCACCCGAGACCAAGAGTCCCCACCCTCCTTTTTTCCACAGTGCCTAAGACGGAGCCAGGTAAGCCCCCTTCCCTCTCCCCAACTTTCTCAGCTTGGGGGCCCCCAGGCCGGCCCCCCTGCGCGTTATCTCATTGCGGTGTGCCGGGATGACTGACTCGCTCCGCGGGCGCGTCGGGCGGTCTCCCCTGCTGGCGCAGAGTGACTGTGGGAGCCATGGCTGTGCTTTGGCGGCCGAGTAGCCCGGCCGCCGCCACCAACCCCTACCGCCTTCGGTCAGCGGGAGGAAGGAAGGGAAAGGCTATTTCCCCTCCTCCTGCCGGGCTTCCAGCTTCCCCACTGAGGGGGGCTACCGCGGGATTGTGGGGGCGGGGGCCAGGAAAGGCAAGCCTTGTGGCAGCTGCCGCAAGCAAAGGGGAAGGGAGACGCGCTGCTAGGAAGGGCCGGTTGGAAAACGCGCTTCAGCGGGTAGCCAGCGAGCCCGGCCGTGGCCCCAGTCCGCCTTCTCTCCAGTTTGCTTCTTCCAAGTCCCACCTCCGCCGTTCCCGTTGCCTAGAAACTGCTCCCCGGATGGCAACGGGATCCTCTTTTGCGACTACTGGGGGGAGGGGGGGCTGGCAACGTTGCTGCGCCTGCCGACCGCGCCACCGTTGCCGATTAAGTTCTTTAAAGTTTCTCCCCTTGCCAGACAAGTTTGCGAGGAATGGTGTCCCTCGCGTCGGCCATTTGGTGGGGGAGGTGTGTGGGGGAAGAAAAAAAAAATAGCCACGTGACCCGAAGCGCTGTCTCGCAAATCGGGTAAAGGGGGAGGGGGGGTGCTGAATGTCTTCGCACCCCAGTTTACTTTAGACAAAGGTTTTGCGACAACCGTGACCTGGATCTGGGGTCTCCAACCTTGGCAACTTTAAGCCTGGAGGACTTCAACTCCCAGAATTCCCCAGCCAATTTCTGGGAGTTGAAGTCCACCAGGCTTAAAGTTGCCAAGGTTGGAGACCCCTGACCTGGATGACTGAGAATCTACAGACTTTTAGGTTACTTTCCCTTCCTCGACCAGTTTTCCTGACCTGAATACAGTGTTGGGATTCAAATAATTTAACAACTGGTTCTCTGTCCTAATGATTTCTTCCAACAACCAGTTCACCAAACTGCTCAGAAGGTTAACAACCGGTTCGCCCGAAGTGGTGCGAAGTGGCTGAATCCCACCACTGCCTAAATAGTTCTCTCGGGATAAGCGCTGGGCTTTTTAGTCCTCGTGGTCGAATTGGCCAGAGACTTAAGAAATAACATTCTTAAGAGCAGAGCAAGGTAGATAGGAAGCTCAGAGGAGCAAGCACAGAGGCATGACTTCGAGGCCAACTTTTATGACAAATGAGCCTGTTCTCTCCATAGATGGAACCTGATGTAAGAGTGAACCTGCTGAAAGAATACTGCAAGATGGTGCTGGCAGAAATAGGGACTTGGTAGGGAGAATTGGAAGCAGTGTGGTAAATTTGAGATGTTGCTGACTCCAGAGAATAGGAGAGGGGATGAACAAGCATAGTTGGTGCTCCACTGCCCCCAGTTGCTGAAGCATCTGTGTGTTGTCTTGAGAGGGCAGAACAGAGCAGTGAAGGTTGAGTGTCCTGAACCCGCTTTCAGATGCCACACTTCATACAACACATAGGCAAACAATTTGCCCCTTTAGTTCATTGCCCCGATCGGTCTTTCTGTCCTGAATTCTTTTTACTATTAGTTCAACAGGTGCAAGCTTTTTAGCTGTGGCTGAGATTAGATTTTCATGAGAAGGTGAAGAAAAGAGGATGTCATAAGAGTTATGGCTTGAGGCTCCACAATAGGGATCTGCATTAGCTTTTCCAAAGAGTAGGACATATTTTAATTCCTTAGGAAGCCATGAAAATTTCATGTGGCAAAAAAGCATCTTCACTTGCTTGTTTTTGGTGCGCAGAGATAGCTGTTATTTCGACTAAGCAAGTGAATGTGGCTACTTCTTGCAACTGTCATTTCGTTTGGTGATCAGATAGTCACACAGTAGCTATCATTATCACTACTGGAGAGAACAATGTTGTTTTTAATTTGTGGGGTACACACCTAAGAGACTCAAGCTACCTGGGAATTACTTTGTTGTGACAGCTAATGTTCATAAGCATCCCTTATTCAGGTAAATGCCAGTGGTAGGGTAAACTGGAATGGCAAGGGAAGTAATGCCTCAGACAGCTGGCTTTCCCCCCCTTGTCCTCTTATACTTTATTATTTATACTTATCTTTATTATTCTGTAAGTTTATGATAGTATATTGTAGCAGCAGTGACACCATAAGAATATAGAAGAGATTTTGGGTAATGGAAACTGGCTAATGATAGGCCTCTTTACATATTACAGATGTTAATACCTTCACAGCATTTATAATAATGTAAGCATGAATAGGATTACAGTCATAATTGCTTGCTGCACACATTTATGAAAGTGTTTTGTAGCAATTCATAATATTATATTGGATAATATGGAACCTTGGATGGATCCTTTCACTATCACATGTGCACAAGTCCATAATCTAAGGAATTGCATTATAATACTTAGTCATAAGACATTATTCTCAAAAAGAAATGGTTTACTGTTAATGTCCTTTAAAATTCTTTGTAAACCCCACAGTTGGCATCATTTTACTTTCCTTTTTAGTGGTAATTTTATTAAGAATTATAATTACAATAGCAAACAACCTGAAACAAACTAAAAAAACTAAAAGAATAAAAAAAAGTGTAGAAAAGAAAGAAAATGAAAAATTGAGAACCAGAAAAGGAAAAAAAAAAATAATATAGCAAAGAAAAAGAAAAGAAAAAATATATAATAATGAAATGACTTCCCATATTCATCGCAAGTATAAATAATTTTAGGAACTTATCATCTCTTAAAATATAGCAAATGATTTCTTATTCCCATATCTAATATCTTTATAAATAAATCCATAAAACATCATCATTTCAGTGTTGATGCCAACAAAAGTCCATGAAAGTTTTCAAAGATAACAACGGATTTATACAAGGAGTAGTCAGTTTACAACCATTTCTTTAGTGACCGAAGTTACAAAGGAAAAGGAAAAGTGATTTATGACTGTTTTTCACATGACCGCTCCAGCATCCCCATGGTCACATCATCAAAATTTGGATGCTTGGGAACTAGCTCATATTTAGCTAGTTAAATATGCTAACTAGCTCTATGGTTGCTGTGCCCCTGGGTCATATTATCACCACTTGCAACCTTCTGATAAACAAAGTCAATGGGGAAGCCAAATTCACTTTACAACCATGTTACTTTGCAATTTCAGTTATTCACTTAACAACGGTGGCAACAAAGGTCACAAAATGAGACAAAACTCTCATAACTCTTACTTAGCAACAGAAATTTTGGGCTCAATTATCATTAATTAAGGACTACCTGTATTAGCCTTGATCAAATAAAACAGCTTTATATTTCTTCTAGTAATCATAATCTTTAGTCCATTCAAATTTGATTTTTTTTTTTTATCCCTTCTCATAAAATTCTTCAAAACTTTTAACGAGCCTCTTTTGTAAATCCAGTATCGGAAAATTATACAGGCCAGTCTTTGTTGTTTGTATTTTATTTTTATTAAGATATCAGCCGGTTTCTTTTGTGTATCTAATGTAATATCTTTTTCCACGTCACTCTGATAACCTGTTATATTAAAATCCACTTTAAACTTAGTCTTGATTTTGTCAACTAGAACTTGTTCCTCTTCCATAACATCTTTTAGACACAGTATATTTATAGCTGCAGACACTATTAAAATTAACTTTTGGGTCAATTGTTTAAAAATATCCTTCAATACGTCCAATCTTAAGATATTTTGCTTTACTCTGTAACTGTAAATTGAATTTAACTGTTCTTCTCCTTTAATTGTAATCTCTAGTTCCTTCTAGTTCCCTCTAGTGTTCAATTTTTAAAGACTTACTTTATTACAGGTAGTCCTCGATTTATGACCATAATTGAGCAGGAATTACTGTCATAAGTAATTACAGTAATAAATCAAGACACTCTAATGACGAAGTAGTTTTCCATCATTTTTTGCAGCTGTCGTTAAGCAAACATTGTGGTTGTTAAGTGAATGCTGCAGATGCTAAACAAACACAACTTTTGTTAAGCATGCCCATTCATTTGAATGGGCATTTTTTCCCAGAGCCCTGCAAAAATATATCATGAATGATTGGAATACTGTGACTGGTCATAAAGTTGGTTGGCTGACATGTCATTTGATCTCAGGGAGGGCAGCATGATCATTTATGACAGAAATTATAAGGGGATTGTTAATGGACCAAAAAGCACCCATTCCATGGCTGCCATACAGTGGGGCAAAAAAGTATTTAGTCAGCCACCAATTGTGCAAGTTCTCCCATTTAAAAAGATGAGAGAGGCCTGTAATTGTCATCATAGGTAGACCTCAACTATGAGAAACAAAATGAGAAAACAAATCCAGACAATTACATTGTCTGATTTGGAAAGAATTTATTTGCAAATTATGATGGAAAATAAGTATTGGTCAATATCAAAAGTTCATCTCAATACTTCGTTATATATCCTTTGTTGGCAATGACAGAGGTCAAACTTTTTCTGTAAGTCTTCACAAGGTTGGCACACACTGTTGCTGGTATGTTGGCCCATTCCTCCATGCAGATCTCCTCTAGAGCAGTGATGTTTTGGGGCTGTCGCTGGGCAACACGGACTTTCAACTCCCTCCAAAGGTTTTCTATGGGGTTGAGATCTGGAGACTGGCTAGGCCACTCCAGGACCTTGAAATGCTTCTTACGAAGCCACTCCTTCGTTGCCCGGGCAGTGTGTTTGGGATCATTGTCTTGCTGAAAGACCCAGCCACGTTTCATCTTCAGTGCCCTTGCTGATGGAAGGAGGTTTGCCCTCAAAATCTCACGATACATGGCCCCATTCATTCTGTCCTGTACACGGATCAGTCGTCCTGGTCTCTTTGCAGAGAAACAGCCCCAAAGCATGATGTTGCCACCCCCATGCTTCACAGTAGGTATGGTGTTCTTTGGATGCAACTCAGCATTCTCTCTCCTCCAAACATGTGTTTCTACCAAACAGTTCTACTTTGGTTTCATCTGACCATACGACATTCTCCCAGTCCTCTTCTGGATCATCCAAATGCTCTCTAGCAAACTTCAGATGGGCCCGGACATGTACTGGCTTAAGCAGGGGGACACGTCTGGCACTGCAGGATCTGAGTCCCTGGCGGCGTAGTGTGTTACTGATGGTAGCCTTTGTTACGTTGGTCCCAGCTGTCTGCAGATCATTCACTAGGTCCTCCCCTGTGGTTCTGGGATTTTTGCTCACCGTTCTTGTGATCATTTTGACCTCACGGGGTGAGATCTTGCGTGGAGCCCCAGATCGAGGGAGATTATCAGTGGTTTTGTATGTCTTCCATTTTCTAATTATTGCTCCCACAGTTGATTTCTGCACACCAAGCTGCTTGCCTATTGTAGATTCAGTCTTCCCAACCTGGTGCAGGTCTATAATTTTGTTTCTGGTGTCCTTTGACAGCTCTTTGGTCTTCACCATAGTGGAGTTTGGAGTGTGACTGTTTGAGGTTGTGGACAGGTGTCTTTTATACTGATAACAAGTTCAAACAGGTGCCATTAATACAGGTAATGAGTGAAGGACAGAGGAGCCTCTTAAAGAAGAAGTTACAGGTCTGTGAGAGCCATAAATCTTGCTTGTTTGCAGGTGACCAAACACTTATTTTCCATCGTAATTTGCAAATAAATTCTTTCCAAATCAGACAATGTGATTGTCTGGATTTGTTTTCTCATTTTGTCTCTCAAAGTTGAGGTCTACCTATGATGACAATTACAGGCCTCTCTTATCTTTTTAAGTGGGAGAACTTGCACAATTGGTGGCTGACTAAATACTTTTTTGCCCCACTGTAACTTCAAATGGTCATAATATGACCATTAAAGTGAGGGTTACTATTTTGTTTTATTTTTTCATTCAAAAGAAAAGAATTTTTCCATAGGAAGGATTTTGTATTAATAATTTTATTAATTCCAAATCTTATTTCAAATTTATCTGTTTCCTTAGTTCATTTGTAACTTTCTAAAATCAAAATTTTAATTACCCTTTTGCTGTTTTGGTATATTGGTGCTATAATTAATGTACCTAAAATCTCCCTTCAAGACCATTCAACTGAATAGGTGAAATTGAAGAATAAAATGGACTGAAATGGTGTATGTGTAGACCAGGAGGGAAAGCATAGATTTTTTGTGCACACTATACACTTTTGTTTCTCATGAATGGAAGTCTGATTGCTTAAATAAAGCTTGAGAAAAACAAGGAAACATCCATGAATGAATCTAGTTTTATTTTTTAAATAGCCAAATGGGCGTGCATTTAGATAAACAAACTACTGGTCTATATTATGTCCCATAGTCTAAGAACATATTAGCCTATTTACATTAACAGTTATGTCAAATCCTGGTGACATTTCAACCAACTGTTCTATTCTATTTGAATAAAATTAGAAAGTACTTATTTAGTGTCAAAGCAATGACAAATGTGTATACCTTCACATACAATAACCTCATAGTCATTGAGTAAGTAAAGGCTTCCCACTGATGATTTGATATCAGACATGATTTTCCTTACTAGAAAAAAAGGAGGGGATATTTGCAATTGTTTCCCTCCCTGTTTTGTTATGTTATTTTATGTTGTAATAAATGAAAAAGAATGCACTTAAAGCAGTTGCAGAGGATTGGAAGATGCACAGCCACCGACTATTTCTGTTGAATACTTTTGTTTGTTTCAGATATTGGAAAGAATTGATCTCAACAGCTAGGACCCATGGCAGCCTAAGTAATTAGAATGAATATAAGATGATCCTTTTTCTTACAAAGAACTAATTGTTCCAAAGGAATTTAATAGATCAAATGTATCCCTAAGATTTCCAATCCAGTGTTAGTTTCTTGAATGCAGAGTTCTTTTTATGGAAATAATTGCTCCAAATCTCCTTTGTCTTTACTTAAAAGCTACTCTAAAAAGCTTGATATTCCTGTAATAAAATTAGAAATAGGATAAAAAGAAAAGAAAATATCTTCCCTCCATCCCCCACTAACTTTCATTGTGGAAAATCAATTTAACTGAAATGACTTTAATGGAAGAAGTCTCACTCACAGGAAGACTCAGTTGGATCCAAGTCTGTCATGAATACTATTAATGTCTTCTGCTTAGATTAGGAATATCTATGTTGCTAGTCTCTGAAAGAACCAACACACCAACAACAGCTTTGATGAAATCTGACACTATTGTAATTTTTTTACATTCTTAATAATAATATTAATTCATGACCCAAGCAACATATTTTATATTTTATACTAGCCTATCAAACAGCACAAGCAAATGTTGTCCTTGCATAGAATTACAGTATATTCATTGTTGCCTAAAACTTAAGTGTGGCCTACAACTTGATGTACATCTTACTTATGCACCAGAAATGCTACATTTTTGTCATGGATTTACATTGTGCTTACATTTTGTCTTCTATTTTTTTCTTGTTCTATTAATACAGAGGAACAGAATATGGATTCAGCTGAATTATTTGATGATGAAGATAATACTGATGGTACTGTTCTTTAAATATATTTCTTTATCAAATTATAATATTTATGTAACTAAAGCCAATATTTATTATGATGTAAGTATTGTAACAATGAATTGGGCAGTTTAATGTATAAATGTTATTTTTTCACTCTCCTATTAATTTTTTAAAAATTATTCTAACATGTACATTGTGAGAAAATGGAGATTTTATACATGTTCAGTTCTAAATAAAAATAGATGATAACCTAACACTTTTATTATGAGAAAGTATTAGCAAAATTATGATTGGAAGGTTCACTGGTTCTTGATCATTCTACTGTACTATATCAGCAATATGAAATATGCCTGAAGTCAAATGTAAAAAATATTTCAATCTGAAGGTCAAAGTGAGTCCAGATAAGATTTGAGGAGTGTCATAGCCCCAAAGAGATAGGACCATATTTCAGATGGCAACACCATCTTACTATAGACATAATCTCTAGCATACATTCATAAGCGAGATATTGAATTCATAGATTAGTATTTGCATATTCATTGTAATCGTTGTCATAGGAGAGTGATTTAAAGCCTGATTGAAGCTGGTGTGGGAGTGGTTTTTAGAGGAAGGTTGCAGTTTTTGAAGTTGAAAGGTTAGATTTTTTTTTTCTTTCCTTCAATGCCCCCTGTCTTTTCCATTATTATTAGCATAACATATTGCCAGTAACTGAATTTGATGTAAAACCTTGCAGAGATTGTAAAATTCTCCCTTTTATCCTTTCAGGGTTTCTTTATTTTTTTAATCAGTTTTTTCCTATAGAGGGGAAAGGGTAGGGTTTGAAAAGAAGGAATGGGCCTCCTAGATGTTTTTCAGACAAGTTGAAGCCAACCATGTGGTTGCACAAATGTGCACACCCTTCAACTAATATTTTGAAGCACCTTTTGATTTTATGACAGCATTCAGTCTTTCGGAGTAGAAGCCTATCAGTATGGCACATCTTGCCTTTTGAATCTTTGCCCACTCTTCCTTGCAAAAGCGCTCCAAATCTGCCAGATTTTGAAGATATCTCCTGTGCACAGCCTCCTACAAATCACCCCACAAATTTTCTACTGGGTTCAGGTCCAAGCTTTGGCTTCGTTATTCCAAAACTTTGATCTGTTGGTAAAGCCATTTGTTTGTTGATTTGGAGGTATGCTTTGGATGATTGTTGTGTTGAAAGGTGAAATTCATCATCAGCATTTTAGCGGCAGCTTGAAGATTTTGTCTCAAAATTGACTGATTATTGAACTGTTCATAATTTCTTCTACCTTCACTAAAGCCCCAGCTCCAGCTGAATAAAAGCAGCCCCAAAGCAGAGTGCTGTCCACCACCATGTTTCACTGTGGGTATGGTGAACTTTTGGTGATGCACAGTGTTGTTTTTGCACCAAATACGCTTTTGGGAATTATGGCTAAAAGGTTCAACCTTGGTCTCATCAAACCATAAACTTGGAAATTGTTTTGTATCCTTCTCTTGACTGATACGTTCCAACAATGAGATCCATTTGATGCTTTGTATGCTCTTTGCAGACCAGGCCTTTTGCTGTAAGAGGCAACTGAATAAATGTCAGAAAAATCCTACTAAAACAGCTGAACTTTATATGGGCTTGATCAGAGTAACTTGAATTGATGGCCCCTGTGTACTGACTATTATTTACCATCAGTTTGAATGTGATTGGTTAATTCTGAACTCAACTACATTCCTACTTATAAGAGGATGTTATACATATTATTGTACATTTTTATTTTTATTTCCCCAGAAAAAAAGATTTCAGTTTGTTTTTCAGTTGAATTATACAGCTTATATATTACGGTAAGGGTTGAAAAAATTCTGAAGTGATTTATCTTAGTCTGATTATTTTACATCTGAAAAATCTGGCATTTTAACAGGGGTGTATAGACCTTTTATATCCAGTATAGGTATGAGTGTATACAATATCCTCATTCTATTCTCTTCAGGTTAGGCAACATAATACAAAGTGCAGAAAAGCCCTTCTCCACCCCCACCCCCCAAAAAGAAAAGAAATGCAGAAAAGCAAAAAAGTGAAAATCTAAGTAAGCTGATCTTACCCCCTCCACCATTCATTATATTTTTTATATCCAGTGTATATCATATCAAAACACGTGCCTGGAATTAGTCGTTTATGAATTTCCTGTGATGTCTGTCTTACTATTTTTCTTTAAATTAGGTATTAAAAATAATATGAAAGGAGAAACTGATAAAGAAGATGAGGTGCTAGACTGCTCTGTGATTTCAAGACCTGAAAAAAATTCACTGGATGGTTTAATAACTTGCCTACAAGACATCAACAAGCGAAAACGAACCTCATTTGGTTTGGATGGTTCAGGAAACCACAAAGAAATCCTGGCAAGTGTGAAAAAAAGAGGCATTGCACAAGAGGTAACTTCTTGCATATAGCATTTTAAATGTATTGTTTTATCCTTCTGGGATTATTGATAAATATACATTTATGATATATATTTATATCAACAGTGAAGTGTATTTCTTCATACTGAAATAATTTTTTCTGTGAAGTTCAGTTCTTGCATTATGGAAGAAACTACTGTATAAATAGTATATTCAAAAGTTCAAAAGACAAGATTCAAAACAGAGTTTTAAAACTTATTAGATAACATTTATTTAATACATGAAGTGCACTACATTAAAGCAGATTTTATATATTGAAACTAGTGATTTATATAATATGTCTGTTTCTTCATATTTTTATCATTATTATTTATTGCAATTATGGCAGAAATTAGAATAAACAGGTTTTATCAATATACAAAGTTTAAGTAAGTATCTGACATTGTTTTGTGCAACTGCTTCTCAAAGATTAATCATTGCTCTTATATCTTGAGCCTTGATATATATACAATCTTGGGTTAGTGAAAATATATGGGAATATTTCAGCTATTTTTTCTGGGACAATAAAACTTATTTCCTTGTGTTTTTAAGATCGAATGTTCAGTGCATGTTTGCCTTTGCAATATTGAATAAGCATTAGGCTAGTAAAAAAAACCATCAGATTTTAAAGTGTGAATATTCACATATGTTTTTATGTTTTCCATTTTACAATTTGATATTGATGTGAGACAAAATGTGTTTGCAAAATATAGAAATCTGTTGTGTACTGAATTACTGAAGACACACAAACAATGCAAAATATTAGTATGAATTATGACCTCCTAGATGGAGAAATTCAAGAAATAATGTATATCAGATACAAATTTATATAAGCATTTTGCATTATTTTGATGTCTTCATTAACTCAATATTGCCATCTGCAGCTTCTTTGACATTTCCTGTATTTCCTTTACCAGAAGATAGTTATTTACAAAGAGATACCAATTTGGACATCTTATTAATTCAGTTGTTATACATGGTAGCTTAGATTTAAAGGTTCATTGAAGGACTTCTGTTCATGGAAATCATTATATTGAATGGGGGAAGCCAATGATTAAAGGAAATAAATAAAGGAAATAATTTTCCAGATTCTTACATATATATTCACTGTTCCAGTGGGAAATCTAACCTTGCAGATAGGTGAAACAAAGGTACTCTGAAAGAGCAGAGTAAAAATAAGTCACATTTTTTTTCCTGCTGGTGATATTAATTAGGATCCAAGCAAATCAGTCTGATATGTGAAATATCTGAAATGCAGATTGTTTGAAAGGTGCACTTTAGGAAGCGAGTTAGCATGAACAAAACATTTCTCCTTGAACAGTTAATAGTAATAGCAATAGCACTTAGGCTTATATATCACTTTACAGTGCTTTTCAGCCCTCTCTAAGCCGTTTACAGAGTCAGCATATTGTCCCTAACAATTTGGGTCCTCATTTTACCCACCTTGGAAGGATGGAAAGCTGAGTCAACCTTGAGGCTGGTGAGATTTGAACTGCCAAATAGCAGGCAGCTGGCAGGCAGCAGAAGTAGCCTGTAGTACTTCACTCTAACCACTGCACCATCGTGGCTTGTTGTTCTCTCCAGAAAGTTTGATGTCGCTGCTTCGATGGATTTGCCAATTGATTGTGCATGTAAAATACACTGTTTCGTGTAGTAGTTAAGGTACTGGACTAGAAACCAGGAGACTGTGAGTTCTAGTGCTCTCTTAGATGTGAAAGCCAACTGAATGATTTTGAGTCACCGTATCCCACTGATGTCAAACTCCGTAGTCATCACATGAAGTTTTGTGACATTTTTTCCATTCGCGGAGCTGGGGCGGGCGTAGCCTGCATGTGATGCATCCAGCCTGTGTGCCGCCAGTTTGACACCCCTGCCTCAGCCCAGCCACCTCAGCCCAACCACCTTACATGGTAGTTGTTGTATGGAAAATTGTAGGGGGGAGCATTATATAAATCCCTTTTCTTCAAAATAAAAGGATGATGAAGATGACAATGATAGGTGTATTCAAGCAACACTTCCACAGGTACTGGGGAAAAGCTTGAATCAACTGTGGCAAGTCTTTCAGAGGACTAAGCTGTTTTAATGCTTCCGAGAAGAAATGTTTTGCTTCTGCGTATATGTTTTATTATGTGATATGTTTTATACAACCATAATTTATTTAGATGTATACTTTTCCATATTATCTCACAATGCTCAGGGTGGCTTCCTATAATAAAATCACAATTAAGATAATATTAGAATTTTGAACATTAAAATAACCTTAAACATTATTGTTAAAAATATAAAAGTTCTAAAAATATTTAAGGTCAAATCTAGCAGGATCATTTAAATTTAACAGAACACTTTTCCCTTGAACTCTAATGCTGTGGAGAAGGTTAGGCTTAGAAAAAACAAATAGCTCAGAATTACTCAATGAGTTCCTAGGTAGCTTTAAACATGTGTCACCTTGGCACTAATCTGACAGTGGTTTTCATACTTGGGTCATGATAAGCCTAGAAGGCACAAAACTCATACCATTACCCTGCAGAGGGATTTATGATTAATAAGAAATGGGGAAGGATTGAGAGGAAAGGAGAAAATTATAAGGATCAGACTGGAAGGGAAAAGCAGATGGACTGTGATTATTAACTTGGAGCACCTACACTAAGCCACTATATCCTGTTTTGCAACTTGCAGTATATTTAGACAAATTTAAGAGAAGATAACTTAGGGTCAGGTAAGGGCTCCCCCACCCCCTCTCAACATTGATGAATAAGATTCAGTGCTTTTGATGCACCCTAAAATTGGGAGTAACTAATTTGCAGTTTGAGAAGCTGGTTCGTACTGCTGGCTCATGTTCAGTTTATTGTGAATATCTCACTCATTTTCTGATGTAGTGCTTCAAGCTGCAAATCACATATTTTATATTAATGCCCTATATTTTTTATTGTAGAAATGAAATTGTAGAATCTTATATTTCTATCTGTTCAAGAACCTTTCTGTTTTCAGTTCTCCAACTTGTTCAGATTCTGCTTGAATTCCAGCAGGATGGAGTTGCTATTGTATGTTGTAGTTTCATGAATATTCTGATAATATCCTTTGCTCTGAACAGGGTTGGATTTCCTCTGAAGCAAACAGTGTGCAATGTGAGAGTCCCTTGGATTATGTCTAGTTTGGTGAAAAGAAGGACTAGGGGTGACATGATAGCAGTGTTCCAATATCTCAGGCGCTGCCACAAAGAAGACAGAGTCAAACTATTCTCCAAAGCACCCAGTGGTGGGTTGCTACCGGTTCAGTCCGATTCTTGCGAACCGATAGTAACGGCGGCGGGAGGCTCTGCCCACCCGCCTGGATGTCATCACAAGCAATCTGTGCATACGCAGAAGCTTCTGCGCATGCACAGAAGTGTGCATACACAAGTGAAGCAAGTGAATGCACACAATCCCATTGAGAACTGGTAGCGAACGTAAGTGGAACCCACCCCTGAAAGAACCTGAGGGTAGGACAAGAAGCAATGGGGAAATTAATCAAGGAAAGAAGCAACTTAGAAATAAGGAAAAATTTCCTGACAGAACAATGGACGCAAGTGGAACAACTTGCGTCCAGAAGTTGTGAATACTCCAACACTGGAAGTTTTTAAGAGGAGATTGGATAACCATTTGTCTGAAGAGGTGTAGGATTTCCTGCCTAAGCAGAGGGCTGGCCTAGAAGATCTCCAAGATCCCTTCCAACTCTGTTATTCTGTTGTTATATGGATAGCAAATATAGGTCTTTATCATTCTATTCTGTTCTTTCATAGCTACTGCTAGAGTAGCAGATAGAGGCTGTGGACAGAAAAGCCTTTGGGCAGTTGTGATTATTTCTCAGTTGAACACCTTGGACCTAGAAGCATTCAAGACCATAACTCATAATCTTGTCCTCTCTAGAATAGATTATTGCAATTTACTTTACGTAGCGCTGTCCTTGAAGACAATTCAGGTGCCACAAAATGCAACTGTTTGCTAGCCTGTCCAACAAATTAATTCCTACTTTGCGGTAGTTGCAGTGGTTAATAATACACCTTTGAGCCCAATTCAGGGTTGCTAAGAAGTCCTTTACAACTTGGGTCTTCTGTTACTTTTAGCATCTTCTCCAGGGAGACTCTGCCTGCCATATGCAGTCTAACCAGGAGACACTGCTCTTCCTTCAGAGATCAAGTGGATTGTGATCTAGATGATCTTATCAGTGACGTTCAAAATGTTTGATTCTAAAAGGCAGAAGTTATCTACCACTTGAATATCTTCATTGTCAAATCTAATATTTTATGGACATTTCATTTGAATTCCATAAGTATTAATGGTACTAATATCAATTTTTTTTCTTGGCCCTTCTAGTTTTTGGAATAGTACCTCAGATCATTGAGCATAAACAAGCATGCATTTATGGACAGATATGCAAGTGTTACCTAGATATATTTATAGGAGGAAAATTTCTTGGGAATCTGTTTTAGCCAGCAACCTTAGGTTGACAAGATAGAGAAGTAATATTACATGAAATTTTAATATATGCTTCTTTTGTTATTCTGTTAAATAATTAATTCTGTTTTATTGTTTGAATATCAACACATTCAGGGTTGTCTTCTGATCTAAATAGTAAGCAGTAACAAATGCCTACTAAAATAATATTCTGGTTAATGCTAGTTAAATTAAGATTAATTTAGTTGCACTTAGTCAATAGATATAATAATTTATGATTTAATGGAATGTTATTGACTTTTAGAGAACTAAGTTCAACTAACCTAATCTACAACTGATCTTATGACAAATTAAATTAAATCAATGCATTGTTTAAATTCAGATAATGTATTACTTGTTCGTTAAGGATAAGTTAAGAATTTATTCAAAAGTATTTTAAACTAATGACCTGTTTGTTTATTGAAAGGATCAGACCTCAAACTTGAAATGCAGAGATGGATTACATACTCAGGAAGATGTTGAACAGCCAAGCAAGAGCAAAAATTCCAGTTTAACATGGATTTGTGAAGAAACTTTGAATAACACAGTTATGCCTTCATATAAGAAACCTCTTTATGGGATCTCTCACAAAATTACAGAGAAGAAGACCTTGCCAGGAACAGAACAGTTTACCACCTTTGAGTTATTTGAAAAGATTAATCCTAGCAGTCCCTCCAATCTTAGGACTTTGAGTGAGCAGCGGAAAAGAGAAACAAGCAATATTACTGCCGAATCTGATTCAAATATCTATTCTTTAATACAAAAAATGTTTTATACACTGAATACATTAAATTCTAACATGACTCAACTGCATAGCAAAGTAGATCTGCTGTCACTAGAAGTCAGTAGAATTAAGAAACATGTCAGCCCAATAGATGCTGTTGCAGAATTCAAGCCCCCTCCTGAGTATCAACTGACTGCCTCAGAACTCAAACAAATTATGGATCAAAGTACATCAGGTGGTGATCTGGCTTGCCGATTACTTGTACAACTTTTTCCAGAACTCTTTAGTGAGGATGAATTAAGTAAGGCCTGCACCACATGTGGTTATCTTAACAAAAAGAAACTTGAATCACTTCATCTGCAGCTCATCCGAAATTATGTGGAAGTCTGTTATCCATCTGTGAAAAATCCTGCTGTTTGGCAAGCAGAATGTTTGCCTCAGGTCAATGACTTTTTCAATAGTTTTTGGGCTCAGAGAGATATGGAAAATAGTCAACCAGATGTACAGTCCTCCAGTTTTTATGAGTCTGATCATATTAATGATAATGATGATGATGAAATTCTACCTATTGATAGAAATACTTCTGTTGCCTCAGAATGGGTATTTGATGCTCAGGATATAAATGAATTTTTAGATGAAGCATCATCTCCTGGAGAATTTTGTGTGTTTTTGCTACACAGATTGTTTCCAGAACTCTTTGATCATAGAAAATTGGCTGAAAGATACAGCTGTTACGGAGAGTGTGGAAAACAAGAACTTGATCCACAGCGACTTCAAGTAATCCGCAGATATACAGAGATATACTTTCCTGCTATGCAGGAGAGAAAGGCTTGGTTACAGCATTGTGTTCAGCGAATAAATGATGAACTTGAAAGCATGTATATGGATGACAGTGAGAATGAACAGATAAGAGATGATTGCTACGATTCTTCAAGTTTGCCTGATGATGTGTCAGTTATAAAAGTAGAAGATAATTTTGAATATGAAAGACCGGGTAGAAGATCAAAAAAGATTTGGCTTGTTCCCATAGACTTTGATAAACTTGATATTCCTTCCCCTGATTTTGATGTTCCTGTCTCAGATTATCTGTTAAGTAAGGAGCAGCTTAAGAATATATATGAAAGTAGCTTGTCTATAGGTAATTTTGCTTCTCGATTGCTAGTTCACTTATTTCCTGAATTGTTTACTCCTGAAAACTTAAGGAAACAATACAATTGTAGTGGCTCACTAGGCAAAAAACAACTTGATCCTATTAGAATTAAATTGATTCGACACTACGTGCAAATGCTGTATCCAAGAGCTAAGAATGATAGAGTATGGACACTGGAATTTGTTGGGAAACTGGATGAAAGATGTCGTCGGAGAGATACTGAACAGAGACGCACATACCAGTTGCAGCGAAAAGTCCATATACCGGGACCTGAGAGGAGAGAATTCCTGACCTATGCAATAAATCCAGAACGATTTAAAGAGGAATTTGAAGGGCCACCATTGCCTCCCGAAAGAAGCAACAAAGACTTTTGCAAGATACCACTTGAGGAACTTATTGTTCCTCCACCAGACTTTTCTGTGCCTTCTCTATATTTGCTGTCTGATAAAGAGGTAAGAGAGATAGTACAACAAAGTCTTTCAGTTGGTAACTTTGCTGCCAGACTCTTAGTAAGACTTTTTCCAGAGCTTTTTACTTCAGATAACCTCAGACTGCAATACAACCATTCAGGGGCTTGTAACAAGAAGCAGCTTGATCCTGTCAGACTGAGACTCATCCGCCATTATGTTGAAGCTGTTTATCCTGTTGAAAAGATGGATGAAGTTTGGCATTATGAATGTATACCAAGCATTGATGAAAGATGCAGACGTCCAAATAGAAAAAAATGTGACATATTGAAAAAAGCCAAGAAAGCAAAAAAGTGATATTTTAAGTTTCCAAAGATGGTGACTTCAGTTATTTTGAAGTAGCTTGAGAGGTCAATTGGTTTAGCACTAGGACAACTGATCAATACATTTTTTCTTTCATATGTGTTTACACATGCAGGAATAGGTAAGAAGTTGGAAGTTATAATCCAGTGAGAGTCTCTTTTAAAAGCCCTACTGAAACAAATGCATATGGCGGAAAAATATATTTTATAACTCCATTTTAGTATGCCTTTATGTAGCTTAGATTTCTTGCTGTTTTTTTTCAGTTACCACCTAACTAAACTGGATCACAAGGAACCACAAATTATTAAGAGTTGCTCTAATAATATATCATCTAAATATAATATTCATCAGTGGAAATAATTAGATAATGTTATTTTTTAATTAATTTTAAATAGTAATTAACTTCTTTAAGACAGTTCTCAATAGGGACCTTTATCATTTGGAAATTAATCAATTTTTAAATATTTCAAATCTCCAATTTTAAAATGTTATACCTCTTTAAAAAAGAATGGAAAATCACAACAATTTCTATGTTTATGGATACTCCTTATATCAAGTTTGAATATTAGGAAAGGAAAAATTTCAAAATCAAGTTATTACTTTTTTAAAATAATTTTTCATTTTGTAGTTGATTTGGTGTAAAAATTAAAATTATAATCATGGGGTTATTTAATGAATGTTTATGTTAAGATTGTAGTATTGATTTCATTTTTTATTCATATAAATTATTGTTTTCTGTATAATCTTGATAAAAGAACTACTGGTATGCGTGGAGATTGTGAAATATAGAATCTTACTCTGTATCAGTAAAAGTGGTGCTATTACCTGTTATACTCACTACTTCAAAAAAATACTTGAATTGAGGAATGTGCAAAACACTTAAGTCCATATTATTTTTATCAGTTAAATTACTGCAGCTTTTAAACTGTTGAAAATATTAAATATACTATCTATATTTTTATTTGAATTATATACTAAGCTCTATCGTATGTTGATTAGTATCTTCAAATACAGTGACACCCAAATAATTTCATTATAACAATGATTATAATTTTTTTCTTTAATCATTGTTTAGTTGATCAAAAACATTGATTATATAGTTCCACTAAATATATGTTCACTAAAAATATTTTTGTTTTTTTTCCTGAAGAGTATTACATTGTGTCACAATGTGTTACATTGTGTTTTTTCTTTTACTGCAAGTCATGAAATTAACAGAATAAAATCATATTCCCAGATTGACATTTCCTTGTATGTGCTGAGTTGGATTAGATCCAAGCAAAGGTAACAGTACTTCAGTCCCACTGAAATCAGTCATGACTAGCAAGTTCCAGTAACTTGTTCCATGGATTTTTACAAGACTTCCAGATTGAATCCACTGATTTTTTTCCCCCTCAAATGCCCATAAATTGGTTTAGAAAAAGAAACTGATCCTTGCTTGTGGATTTGCTGTTCCCCTGAATCCTATAAATTGCATATATGATGATCAGTGTGTACACTTGAATGCTCTAGTAGAATGCTTGTTCAATGCTAAGGATGAAGTCATTTATTTCTAGTATTACATATTTCTAGTATGACAGACTTGTTCCACTTGCAAATTATGTACTGTATTTTTTGGAATATAAGATGCCCTTTCTCCTCCCACCCCAAGGTGGTAAAAATTTAGGTGCGTCTTCTACACCGAATGTAGCCCCGCCCACCCAGACCCCCACCCTTTGGCCTCTGCCTCACAGCAGTTACCTCCTTGCAAGCAAACAGCAAGAAAAAACAGCTCCACAAGTTGATTGGATCGCCTCCTAACTCTCAGCTGATTTGCTCTCAGCTGTTTTGCGCAGGGCTCTGCTGCTTGCTGCAAAGAGGTAAATTGCTGCAGCAGATTTTTTTTTCCTTGTGCCAATCAAGCTATGCTGAAAACGAAAATGAAAGTAAAGCAGGCTGTTTGCTGCAACGAGGCGAATTGCTGACGCAGAGGGAGATTTTTTTTTCTTCTTTTCCTCACCAAAAAAGGTTAGGTGCATCTTATACCCTGGTGCGTCTTATACTTCGAAAAATACAGTAGATAACATATATGCAAACATATATATAGGCCTCTTGGAGCTTTGTCTGTGTCCTCAGGGTCACCTGAGTAGTGCAAATGAGTGTGGAGCTTTCTTGGAACTGCTGAAAGGACTGCCCCTCTGTTGAGAGAGGGCTATTCAGTTTTGACATGGATGGCCTCTTTGACCCCTCTTTAAGAGCCCTCTCTCAACAGAAGGAGAAGGATACATCATCAGTCTACAACACAGTTCTTTCAGCAGTTCCAAGAAGGTTCCACATCACAGGTGTAATACTTGTCGCGTCACACCATCACGTTTTGCGAAGTTTTTCCCATTCGCACAGCTGAGGTGGGCATGGCCTGTGTGTGACGCATCAGCCCGTGGGCCGCCAATTTGACACCCCTGCTCCACACCCATTTGCGCTACTCAAGTGACCCTGAGGACACAGATAAAGCTCCAAGTGGCCTCAACTACTCTCTAAAAGAATGCAGAATGTGGCAGAACCTTCAGGACCTGTAGTTTTCTAAATTTCAAACAGCAGCTTTCTGCAAGGAATATAAATCCTTCCATTTCCCACCATCCAGTCAGAGCTGAAGAAGCTTCTTGGATGAGAAATGAAACGTCTTCAAAGAAAAACAAGAAAGTCCAGTTGCCTCTTGAAAAAGCATCTTTGGGATTTCAGTCTGAAAACAGAAAGATGCTTTAGAGCACACAGGAACACAAGCCAGAGCACATGCCTGCAACTCCCTAAACCACAATTATTTTTTCCTAGGATCATGCAACAGGCTAGGACAGCTGTGTGCCATTCCAGTAAAAGGCATCATTGCTTGAAGCATTTGCAGGCAGAGCTACTTGAAGCTGCGCACTCTGAAGCACCGTTTTGCCTTCTAATTGAAACTGCTGCACAACCCTGTTTGTTGTGGCAGTGAGGTGTTGATACAATTACTGTTTGTGACACATTTCTATTTATCCATTTTTATAACATATGTTACTTGGATCTTAATATGTACCACGTCACTTTAGAAAAATGTTTTTGTTTTTTCTGTTCTGAAAATAATGGATTTTTACTGAATTAAAAATAAAGGGGTAAATGGAATTGTGAGGAAAGAAATGGATTGATTAGAACATTTGCTTTCCTAATTTTCTATCAAATTTCTCCACTTTTAAGTCTTATGTGTTGGCTTTAAAATTCACACTGGCTTCAAGTAAAACAGGTGATAATCTTCACAAATACCATGATGCTAATCTGCATCATCTACTTCTGTTTCTCAGCTGCCTTATGAAGGTTTCTTCTGTACTGTACTGGACCCTGAGAATCCTAGCTCAGTTTGATGTGGCAGTACCACGCTACTTTTTCCTGGTCTCAGGGCCAGGGGTGATTTCAGCTTTTTCCCTCAAATAGCTTTCCTAACATGCTATATTTGTTAGCTGAATGTACCACTCTTAGAGAGTAAAGAAGAAAATATTTTCTGATTTATAATAAGTCAATAAATGTTAATCTGAACTAAAACGTATACATTTATATAGAGGCATTAATGTTATATCCCTCAATTTAGAAATAGCATTTGTTGCTCATCCGAACATGACAAAATCACGTATCAGGTTTTCGGTTCTACTGAACTATGAAAGAGCCGAAAAGCTGTGGCAGAACCTTCAGGATGCATATTGTTTTCTGAATTTCAAACAAAGCATCACTTCTATATTGTGTACTTCTATACTTAATTTTATTTTCCTGCTGGGGTTGTTTCCAATCTTCCTGTAATTCCTTCCCTTCCACATATTACTGCAATAAAATAAAAATAAATGTGCTTTTGTTATCTTATTGCTAAAATAGGTACCAGTGAAACTGCAACACAAAATTATTTGTGCATACAGTATCATTTTGGAAACATTTTAGCTTCCAGTGATCAGCACATCCTTGAAGAGAGCACAAAATGCATTCATACAATTTCTTACATGAAATTTATTGAGCTACAATTAACAATTTTATTTTAATATGGTAACAGGTTTTTAATTCACAAATATACCATTATAAAATAACTCTGTTTATTTCTCTCTATATATTTACCTGGTGCATGTATGTATGTGTATATATATATATATAATCTCCCTGAAAGAGTATATGTAAGTGTGTTTGTGTGTGTGTACACACACACACACACACATTACTTTTTACATTTTCTCACATTTCCTTAGCTAGTTGGTATGCCCTCATAATTTATGTATGTAAAATATGTCAGCATCTCTGTAATAGATGGGCCATAATAAGGATGAAATCCAGCCAAAGTCTTCTGTCAGCTGAATAAGAAGCAAGGTTGGTTTTAAAGGTGCCTTCGCTAAACAGAAGTAATGTACTTTGCAGCAGTGAGCTAAATTAAAACCAGACATGAACTTTGGTACAGGGCCTCATGTCTATTCTAATGAGCACCTGAGTTGCCATAGATCACATGTCCATGGAAGACTGAATATGCAGAGCTGCACTGCACAATGACGTAAATAGTAACTCCCATCTATTTCTGTTTCAGAGCTTTACACTCTCACTGGGTTTTCAAGTGAGAAAATACATGGCAAACTCAGTCTAGTAGCACTCTTGTTTTCCTGACATACATGATTCAACTGTAACAGTACCCCCTCTATTTTTATAACCATCTTACGCATGAAGAAACTCTGCTTTATACAAGGGAAAATACAGTGGCCAGCAGATTTAGCTACATTCCACACTGCCACCTCTGGATAAAGAGGAAAGCAAATAGAAATTACTTATTTCAGTTTTCATTCCTAGAAATGGAAACATACTACTTAATCTATCTGATATTTTCCTTTTTGATGTAAACAGTGATATTGCAAGTGACAAAAATATTCTAAATGTAATGTTTCCCCTTAAGATTAGCATTTGAGTTTCTGGGTCATGTGGTTAAGCAACAGCCAAGACAATTTAAGATCAGGCTTTCCTTTTATTTATTTCTCATTAAAAACAATATTTTATTTTTCCCACCCTCTGAAATGAAAACAGCATACAGCAAATGAATGTCATGGAACAGAAGTAGTAATGTTTATAGTAAGGAAAGTGGCATGCCATAAAATAACCTTTAAAAAAAAACTAACAAAAATTATATATTATACAATAAATGTGATTGCTCACAACAAATCAATCACAACATGCAATTCATTTTTTCACTTCAATACATCCTGCTTGGGCACCTTTAGGTTTTTCCAGCGCCTCAACACCACTTTGTATTTATCATTCTCATTCTTCTCAGATGCTTTCCTTAAAACAACTCGCATAACTACAGCTGTTTCTGTTTCTTTGTCTTCTCCAAGAATGAGATCCAACGTATCACCAACCTTTACCTGAAGAATAAGAAGGGGAGGAAAAGGGAAGGGGGGGAGAGAGAAAAAAATAGTCCATTTTTTTCCTTGAGCGACTGTATGAATAACTTGCCTGATACTGATTTGAATGTTTTCACTCCCACCATTTCGAAGCTTGGAGGAAAGCTACCAAGATGACTGTTTAATACGTGTGCTTTTTTGTAGCAAAAATTCCATGATTTGAGGATGTTGTGCCTTAAGAATGTACGCATGTATAGGAAAGTTACTGTAAACCCATTATCAAACATTTCTAGTCCATGAAACGTAAGAGCCACAATAAAGAAGCTACAGCAGTAATATGATACAACACCATAAACCATACACAAAACTATGTTTTGTGTTGGAGAGTGATTATTCGAAGACGTGTTATCATTGTTTTGAGAAACCAAGTTTGTTTTCTCACTAAGAGTAAAGAATGTTTTTTTTTTCACCGTTCGGAGTCTGTGAGTATCTGTGTTTAACCAGCAGCGTATCTCTTTGCTGTCCGGTCCGTTGCATACTATGCTGAGGGAAGTAGTTATCCTCAACAAAGATGTGAGTCTAGAAAGAGCACAGAGAAGAGAAACAAAAAGGGATGTGGAGACTAAATTCTACAATGAACAGTTAAGGGAACTAGGTGTATTTAGCCTAACAAAGAAAAGGTTTAGGGATGATATGATAGCTGTCTTCCAGTATTGGAGGGGCTGTCACTGAGAAGTGGGGATTGACTTAGTCTCCAAAGCATCTGAGGGCAGGACAAGAAGCAATGGCTGGAAGCTTGTCAAAGACAGATCCAACTAGGAATGAAGGAGAAATTTCCTGACAGTAAGAACAATTAATCAACGAAATGCCTCCCAGAGTTATGGGTGCTCCATCGCTGGAGGTTTTTAAGAAAAAGACAATCTTGGTATATTAAAGTCTTCTGCCTTGAGAGGTGGGTTGGACTTGAAGACCTCTGAAGTCCCTTCCACTCCTATGATTCAATTTTACTATTCCAATTCCATTCCATTCTATAGTTTACAAGCCACAACAACCGGGTTCCTAGAACCAAGCAAAACTCCTTATGATGTACTGAACAGAACATGTGTGTCTTGTTACCTTGCCTGTAAAATGGTGATGGGTCAAATCAGCCTATTTCCATAACACAGTTCCAGATCATGGGAAGAACAGATGGCAGTGTAAGATTGGTAGGATGTGGCACTGAATAGTTTCTCTTCCCCTATTGCCTGAATTCCTTAACCAATTTTCAAAATAATATAGAACTCTTACTCTAAGAATCAAACATCATACCTCTAATGTGCTAAACTTAATAATTTCCGCATAAGAAGCAAATTATTCTATGATTAAATGGTTGTTGCTATTACTAACTTAGTTTCTATGTGCTGAATCTACCAGATCTATGACAATTTATAGCCACATACAGCATAATAAAATGTTTATAGTAAAAATTAGCTACAGTCCCTAATAAAAAGGACAATACAATATGCTTCAATTGTCCTCCTCCCAAAATAACAATTATCATATACAGAAGAAGCAAAAAGTGCCAATGGTGAACAAACTCTCCAAAGCAAAAGTTTTCTCCAACTTCTGGGAGGCCACCAGTGAGAGAACCAGCCTCAGTACTAGGGGCAGGCTGTTCCACAGAATTTGCACTGAGATGGTGCCACCCCAAAAAATCCAACAAAGCAGTAACCATTAGCCTTCCTCCTAATTTACAATTAAAACAGAGTTCTAGTTGAACACAATGATCAAATTAAGAAGCCAGAATTCTTCAAAATTCTGAAGTGGTTTTAGAGTGCGATGTCATCTGTACGCTGATGACACGCAGCTGTACATCTCCACCACAAACCACCCCAATGATGCCCTTGAAATGATGTCTCGGTGCCTTGAGGCCGTACGGGTCTGGATGGGGAGAAACAGGCTTCGACTCAACCCTTCCAAGACTGAGTGGCTGTGGCTGCTGGCGTCCCGATACAGCCAGTTAGTCCCATCACTAACTATTGGGGATGAATCATTGACCCCCGCAGAGAAAGCTCGCAATTTAGGCATCCTCCTGGATGCACGATTGTCTTTAGAAGATCATATAACAGTTGTGGCCAGAGGAGCTTTCTATCAGGTTCGCCTGATTCGCCAATTGCGTCCCTTTCTAGACCGGGACTCATTACGCACAGTCACTCAAGCCCTCGTCATTTCCCGACTTGACTATTGCAATGCTCTCTACATGGGGCTCCCCTTGAAGTGCACCCGGAAGCTCCAACTGGTCCAGAATGCGGCCGCGCAAGTAATTATGGGAACAACATGGCGCTCACATGTAACACCTCTTCTATGCGAGCTGCACTGGCTTCCAGTGGCCTTCCGAGTACGCTTCAAGGTGTTGGTTCTTACCTTTAAAGTGCTCCATGTCTTAGGACCTGAGTAATTATGAGATCACCTGCTGCAACCAATAACCTCCCACCAACCAATACACTCTCTCAGAGTAGGCCTACTCATAGTACCATCATTAAAACAATGTCGTCTAGTAGTTCCAAGGGAGAGAGCCTTCTCTGTGGGAACACCTACTCTTTGGAACAAAATACCCCCTGGAATACGAATAATCCCAGATCTTCGCACTTTCCGACGTGCCCTGAAGACCTTTCTGTTTCAACAAGCAGGGCTAGCATAAACATCTAAATTCTATGCCAAGGTCTTAGCAGATACACCAAGTTGACTCAATTTATTATTTACTGTTTATAAAAAAAATTATTATATGTATATGAAATCTTAATCTGTTCCCCGCCCTGAGTCCTTCGGGAGAAGGGTGGTATAGAAATTCAATAAATAAATAAATAAATGTGAAATAAAATATGAAGAATGCATGCCCAAAATTTTAGATGAACTTACTCCAATTGTTCATCTGACTTTAAATTATGTCTAAGAGATACATTGAACTAGCTCATTTTTGAAATGCAGTATTAGTTGTATAATACAACATGCAACTGTTTAGTAATCTGGTTATTGAAATGTAAACAGTTCTAGAAATAAAAATAAGCAGATGGCCAAAAAAATAATAATAAATAAATAAACTTAGGTCTCAGTGCGGTAAAGACAAATGTTTTTTATATAGTGCTGTGATCCTGTTTCACTATGTAATATTTATGAGAATTAAATTCTATCCATGACTTCTCGTGTTAATTTAGGTTATACCGTGAATTTCAAAAGGTCTTACCGATCTGCTTTTCTTCCACAATTTTTCTCCATTCAGTCTAAGCTCACCATTGTAGAATGCATCTTCCACTTTGCTTTAAAACAAAAAGAACCCTATTTTTTATATTTAATATTCTTGCTATATTTTTTTTTACAAAAATAAATACTAAGAAGAACCTTTTCTACCATTGCACCTTATGTATATAGATAGCTACATCAGTGTTTTTCAACCTTGGCGACTTTAAGAAGTGTGGACTTCAACTCCCAAAATTCCCCATACAGCAATGCTGGCTGGGGAATTCTGGGAGTTGAACTGCATACATCTTAAGAAGTTTCCAAAGTTGAAAAACTCTGAGTTAGATCATATCAATTAACATAAATGATAACAATGTTTCACTTCAGCATTTCCCGCTCTAGTGCAATTGATTCACTTTGTATGGACTTCCAGACACAGTAAGCTTTTACAGAAGGAAAATCAATGTTGCATTTCTTACAGCTAAATAAGGCTGCAACCCTATGCATACTTTTGATGAAGCAAATCCTATTAAGCTCATTCAGGTTTTCTTGAAAGGAACATTTCAGAAAACCCAGGTATAAAATGTAACTTCAAATAAGTTAAATATACATTTAAAATAAACAGCTTTCAGGTCAAAATGCCAATCTTCTCATTGGGTGATCAATTGAACAGTTCAGAGACTGTTGGTCTGTAATCAGAAATCAGGAACAATTTCTACTTCAATCTGTTTTGTTACCTTCTGCAAGTAAAATAACAAAGGCTGATAACACATGCCTAATTTTTCTGCTCTTCATTTAAAGCTTTTTACTATGTATATTAAATACACCAAATCCTGAAACAAATGATAAAATCTAAGCAAGAAACGTGCATGTCTATTATGGTGTCTGGAAGCTTTAATTAGAGGAATAGCCAAGAGATTACAAATTAAGTTGGAAAAATAGTCTCATTAAGAGCTATTTTGTTTGTTTTAATAACCATCAGCGGATGCTAATAATTCTCATTATTTCTTTATGGCCAAATTTACAGTATTTAACTGACCAGTCTGTTTTCATAGGGATTTTAATCACAAGCTACAAAAGTCATTTTAAACGACCTTCCCCAACTTAATGCTTTCCAGATGCTGTTACAACTAGCACTGGATTGGGAAAGGTTGATGAAGAATACTATCTCGACAGACTAGTATTGGCAAATAAAAAAAAGTATAAAAATGGTGGGAAAAAAGTATAAAAACAGTGGGAAACCATTAACTAGCTTTCTCTTAATAATGTTATACAAAATATAATTAGCTATATCTTGTAATCCCTTTACTTACAAGTTATTTTAAACTTTTAGACTTACTTTCTTGCAATATCTAAACCAGATTTCAAGATTACATCAAATCGAAAAGATTGTACTACTTTCTCAAGGTCTTTGTAATTCTTCACTATGCTGGGATCATCTTCAAACTCATCTTCTGAATCAGTTATCTCTTCATCAATGTCTTCCTCCTCCAAGTCTTCTTCCACAGTTCGTTTCACATTTTTATGTGAGCTTTTGTTACTTTTGTGTCGGACCGAAATCCCTGTCACACTTTTTGACCATCGTATTAAAAATGCATGATGCTGAATGGGAGAAACACAGAAATGTTTGGGGAGAATTGCTGTTCTGGGATACTGGCTTGCAGCACAAAGAAAGGTCCTCCAGGGAGAGCTGAGTTTGTGAGGAGATTTGACCAGGAGTCCAAGCCAGACATTTAGATTTTTAAAAGCACCAAGAAGTAATTTATACCCTGTCATAGCATACCCTGGAACAAAGGATTAAACAGTTAGGGCATTGCAAGTTAGAAATTTTCCAAGATAAACGATGCAACTTCTTACATATTCTAAAGCAACAAGAGATGCAGGAAGGTATGGGATTCACAAAATTCCAAACCCATTGAAGAATATGTGGCACTGAATTAATTCAATTTATTTCTGAATTCAAATGTGTGGCTCTGTGATGTAGATTTACAGTCTACAATGCTCACAAAATCATCCACCAAAGTTCTGTATTACGCATTCACAATAACTCAATGGCTTACATTAACTTACTAGCAAATAATTACCCCTTTCATGCTCTGATACTAACACACACAAACACTATTTATAAATAAGCCATTGAAGAATAGCGGGAGAAATTTATTAATTTATGTCATGAGTCTACTGTTTTGCTGGTCTATGTCTAACAAAAATTGATTTGAGTCTACTGTGATGAACCATATTCTGAAAAATGGGTTGCGAATGAAAACCTCAATGAAATCTTCATTATTTTCTCAAGAGGGTTAGATTTAGAAATGAAGCATAGACCTGCTTTGACAATTCAAACTTTCTTAGGAAAGAAAGCCAAACCTACACATTATTTATTTAATATTTCTTTAGTTCTTCTTGGGCAGGCAATCTAAAGCAATTATAATTTTAATGGTAAATTTTAATAAACTAAAGCAAAAGATGAGACATCGATGGAAAAAAAATCCCAAGGCTTTCACCACAAAGAATGCCCAACAAGAGATTTGGGTAGGTGTTCCTTGAAATGTCACTTGGTCCTCCAGTATCACTTATTATTCCAGGAACATCTGAAACTATTCAAGCTCTTGAGTCCACACCCTGGCCAAAACAATAAAAATTTGAAGAAACGGAATAAAATTACACTCCATGGCAGATTCACTAATTCCCTCACCTGGAAATCTATCAACCATGAGCTGTCATGAGAGAATTCCATTTCAGTTTATTGGGTGCCATCCATCCCATACAGAATCTAGATACTCATTCTAAATTTGCCTGTTTTCTTTTAATTTACCGTAGGTGTTATTAAGAAGTAATCTGCATGTCTTTAACATCTGATGACATTTCAAGTCCAAACACCTGATGATCATCATATATATGTTAAATACCCAATAGAACAGGGGTCTCCAACCTTGCCAACTTTAAGATTTGTGGACTTCAACTCCCAGAATTCCTCAGCCAGCTTTGAGGAATTAAAGTCTACAAGTCTTAAAGTTGCCAAGGTTGGAGACCTCCTGCTCTATGGCACCCACAGAATGTACAGGCACACTGACACATGCTATTTTCCAAGAGCAAAACTCATTCTGTCCTAAATCATCAGAAAGCAACAAAATTAGTGTTTTCCAAGACAACCTGAACTGTACAAATATTATCTTCTCCAGCACTTTGCCCCAATCAAAAATATCATGATTGTAGTGATAGTATTAATAGTAATAGTAATCCCCTGGATCCAGAGAGCGCTTCTTCAGAAACGGACAGAGAAGGACCACCTTTAAAATTAGGGGTATCAATTAATCAGAGGAACGGAAAGTTCCACACTCTATCTAATCAATCCTTTTTTGTTACTGCAAATAAGCCAAGATCGTCAAAGATCAAAGGAGTACCCCACTAGTCCTCTTAACTAGAGGCAAGTCCATTTAAGTTTTCAGCTTGTAACTTTATGCTGTGGACTGCAAGAAAGTTTCTATTTGGATCTAAACACCAGCGCTTAACACAGAACTCTAAAAGCAGTATAAAAGTATTCATGCTTTTATGCCTCAGGGCAGTGCAATATTGTATTATATAAATTATATAAGTATAAATTATATAAATTAATACAATACTATACCGCCTGAATTTACCTGCTAACAGTCTCACACAATATGACCTGCAGAACACCCATGAACAACAAGGAGCCATGTACAAGAGACCAGACCATATCCAAGCATCGTGGCTATTACTTGGATGGCAGGCGGATTTAATAGGTCACAGCCCCACTCCTCACTTTTCTCATCCCCTGATCCTTTTGGGGATCCTTTTGGGGATCCGGGGTTTTTCTCATCCCCTGATCCCCAAAAGGATCCAAGCACAAATGCCACGGAGGTCAAACGCCCCTGGTTTTGGATAAGAGGCGTGTGTGTGTGTGTGTTGTGTGTGTGTGTGTGAATAAACTTCGCAGAGGGCAATGACAAGCGTCAAGGTCGAATTCAAGGGAACCCTACCGTAAATACGGTTAAAAACCGCGCTGCAATCCCGACTGTACAACTTCCCGCAGCAGCAGATCAGATCTTGCGCCGCGTGTGTAACCCCCGCCCTCTTGCCCGGTTGCCTAGCGGACCCGCGTCCGATTCCGGCCTCCCTTCGCCGAAACGACAGAACGAAAGCGGAAAGCGCTGCTTCTTCGCCCGGGGCCGAGCAACGCCTGCCTGCCTGCCTGCCCGCTCTATGACCCAGCAGGCCACACTACCTGCCTCCGGCCGGCGCTTCCAGCCCAAACCCTGCCGCGCGTCCCTGCTCCGTTGCCCGTCCTTCTCCCCTTTCCCGCAGGGATCAAAGGGCAGCAGCGGAGGCGGAGCCCAGTTTTTGTCGGAGGCGACAGCGACCCCTGCTGGAAGGAAGGGCCTCGGAGGACCTGGCGGCTGTAGGCCGCAGTCTTCCAACTCTCTCCGCTGGGGAAGTTCTTCCCGAGGCTCAAAAAAGCCAAGCCAGATGTGCGGGGTACATCCCTGCGGCTCTGGCCGATCCGATCTAAGGAGAGCTTGGTCTCACTTTACAACCGGATGGGCTTCAGAAAGTCGGAACGACCTCGGAAAGATACCGCAGTTGCGCCTCTTTTGCAGTGTCGTAAATTGAACGCCCAGTGTACAGGGCGTGGACCGACTGTCCCTTCTCGGTTTGGGAACTTTAGAAAGATGCTGATTTGAAATTGTGATGTGAGACATTTCCAACGCAAAATCACTCAAAGCAACAACTGCAGTTAATAAATCCCTAAGAGAAGACAGATGGCATTTCTCTCAGTATGGCCCTGCCCCTGCTGGATAAAAATGTTTTCACCATAGAAGAAATTATATTAATTATAGATGACTATTGCAAATTAATCCCATCCATAATCTCAGGGACACAATCTAGCATAAATGTTTTTTTCATTACCGTTTTAGCCTCACCATAATCTTGTGAGGTAGGTAAAGCAGGGATCTGAACCTGCACCACACCATCATAGTCCCAATATTTTAACTGCAAAACTGGATCGGTCCTTGCAAGCCATTTCCATTTTCTTTTTTGCAACTAATAATAATAATAAAAAAACCCAGGTGCCTCTGAGAACAGCCAAAATTTCTTGTCTAGGCCAACAGTCTTTTAAATCTAGTCAGCTGGACACATGAAAAATGTATAAGAGAGATATCCCTTAACCCCTCTTCCAAAAATTATCAGCCACTCTATCTTAATTTGAAGATGCCTTTCTTATTCTGAAAGCAACCAAATACATCATTTGAGTGTCAGCTTCCCTTACATTGTATTGTTTCTAGGAAAGAGTTTTTCCATGTTCCTTTGCCATAGGCCTCGTGTCTCCAAGTGTATATCTGCATTATCTGAATTGGAATATCCCCAGGAAACAGAATTCCTTACAGTTCCACTAGGAATTTCTAAATATCTCTTCTTCAATTTGTCAGGTACACATTTTTCATTTGGTTTATTGTTGTTGCTGTATGGCAGGGGTGTCAAACTCACAGCCCGTGGGCCAGATGCATCATGTGCTGGCCACGCCTACCCCCAGTTTAGCGAAGGGGGGAAAGTTGCAATACGTCACGTGACGACAACCTGACGACGTGACTTTGACACCCCTGCTGTATGGTTTCCCCACCATTTGTTAGTAGCAAGTGTTAAGATGCAGTAGTTAAGTACTGGAAGAGAAAGAGAGAGCCACTCTGCACCTCTGTGCTAGTGTAGAGGAGTATGGAGATAACCTTGAAGAAGGAATGCAACAACAGACAAACATCAGTTTGCGCAGGTGAGAAAGAAACTCAAGATTGCCCCACTATTAGTGTCTGTGACCTAAGAAGAAGGGAGAGAGACTGTCAGGATTTCAAAATTATCTTATTATGCCCTCTTAAAAGTAAAATAAGTTGCAGTCATTCTTATGGTGTCTGTTTCCTGATCTGGCCTACCTTGAAGTGCTGACGGTCAATCTGCTGTTTTAAGGAGCCTACCATGCTGAAGAACAATCTAGCTCCCTACCTTACTATCTTTTAAGTACTGAGTGGGAGAGGGAAACCTTTACTGTCCCTTGCTTCATGCAGAAATGTTGAGTCAGCCCCAGCGTTACAGCCTATGTCCTGCTTTGCCAAGGGCATAAAATCGTACTGCTCAGCACATGCTCCCTGTTAAGTCCTGAAAGAAAGGAAAAAAAACCCTCTGTGTTGTCAAGCAGAAACTCTTTTTGTTCTCATAGAGGTTCATTATTATTATTGACTGTCAGAGGTTTGCTTGTTTGGTTGCTGTTAAATTATACAAGTTAAAGTGTGTGATATTAGCTTTCAAACCGCCATCTAACAACCCCCCCCTACCCTCAAATACAGAGCAAAGACAAAAATCAGTTTGCATTAACTGAGTGTTCCACTTATTAAAACTGCTCGCATTAAATTAAAGAGGGAGCAGTAATTCCACCACTGTGACTCATAAATGTTTTTTATGGTCTAGTACATATATCTGCACTGAAGATTTAGTAGATTTTTTAAATACTTGTCATGGTGATATAGTTTTCAGAATGAATTTTGGTTCCATCGTTTGTTTGCTTGACTTTGGGATAATGGCCCCTTCCTTTGAACTCACCTGTGAAGATTATTTTTGGATGTTTGTTATTTAATTTGGAGGGGGGGAAGAAATTTTTAAAAATCTTTAAAAATCTAAAACAAACAGGCATTGTGGTAACGGCCTCCCATCGACCTGTGCGCTCCCACAGAGAGGGCCTCCTCGGGGTGCCATCAGCCAAACAATGTAGGCTGGTGACCCCCAGGGGGAGGGCCTTCTCTGTGGGGGCACCCACCCTCTGGAACCAACTGCCCCCAGAGATAAGGAGAATCCAAGACCTCGGTGCCTTCCGCCGTGCCCTTAAAACCTTCTTTTTTCAGCAAGCAGGGCTGGCTTAACTTTTTTTTCTTAATTTTTTAAATGTTTTAAATGGGTTTGTTATTGTTCTTAAATTACGGGGCCAAATTTATATATATTCTTTTAATACTATTTTAATGTTTGTAATTTATGTTTTTATTCGGCTGTACACCGCCCTGAGTCCTCAGGGAGAAGGGCGGTATATAAATTGGATATAAACAAACAAACAAACAAACAAACAAATAAATAAATAAATAAATAAATAAATAAATAAATAAATATTTGTCCTTTATGCTATAATAGTTAAGGGTGAAAAAAGAGACTATAGCACCTTCTGTATAAGGAAATGGTGCTGTTACCTGGCAAGTAAGGAAATCAAGGGCATTATAAAGTTATCATAACCCTCAAGATTGAGGGGAACATTTAATACCGGTAATCTTCAACTAATGACCATAACAGAGCCTGCTCATTGATCATCATAAAGCAGGTCATCGTGCCACTGGATCCAATTTTATTACCAGTTTTTTGTGGTGGTCATTAAGTGAATGTCATGATTGTAAACCCCTTCATGGATTACTACCTTGTCATGATGAAGGGGCTTGTGTAGCTCAATGAAGCTATGAGTTATGCCGTGAAGGGCCACCCAAGACGGACAGGTCATAGCAGAGAGTTCTGACAAAACGTGATCCACTGGAGAAGGAAATGGCAACCCACTCCAGTATCTTCGCCATGAAAACCCATGGACAGTACCAAAAGGCAAAAAGATATGATGCCGGAAGATGAGCCCCTCAGGTCGGAAGGTGTCCAATATGCTACTGGGAAAGAGCAGAGGGCTAGTACTAGTAGCGCCAGAAAGAGTGAAACGACTGGGCCAAAGCCAAAAGGACGCTCAGCTGTGGATGCATCTGGTGGTGAAAGGAAAGTCCGATGCCATAAAGATTTTCTCTCCATAGGAACCTGGAATGTAAGATCCATGAATCAAGGCAAGCTGGATGTGGCCAAACAAGAGATGACAAGATTGAACATAGACATCTTAGGAATCAGCGAACTAAAATGGACAGGAATGGGTGAATTTAATTCAGATGGCTATCAGGTATACTACTGCGGGCAAGAATCCCTCAGAAGAAATGGAGTAGCCTTCATAATCAATAAAAGAGTAGAAAGAGCAATACTGGGATTCAATCGCCAAAATGACAGAATGATCTCAATTTGAATCTAAGGCAAACCATTCAATATCACAGTAATCCAAGTCTATGCCCCAACCACTGGTGCTGAAGAGGATGAAATTGACCGGTTCTATGAAGCCCTACAGCACCTTATAGAATTAACACCAAAAAATGATGTCCTTATCATCATGGGGGTTTGGAATGCTAAAATAGGAAGCCAAAAGATAACCGGAATAACAGGCAAGTTTGGCCTTGGAGTACACAATGAAGCAAGGTACAGACTGATAGAATTCTGTCAAGAGAATACGATGGTCATAGCAAACACTCTTTTCCAACAACCCAAAAGACGACTCTACACATGGACATCACCAGACGGTCAACACAGAAATCAGATTGACTATGTACTCTGTAGCCAAAGATGGGGAAGCTGAGGCTCTATACCTGTGGTGGCGAACCTATGGCATGCGTGCCACAGGTGGCACATGGAGCCATATCAGTGGGCATGTGAGCGTTGCCCTAGCTCAGCTCCAGCTCGCATGCACGCGTTGGCCAATTGATTTTCGGGCCTGTGAAAACTACACAAGAATGAGCTTAATGTCCCTGATAACCAGGGGTGAAATGTTCCCGGTTCGGACCGGCTTGCCTGATCCGGTAGCGATGGCGGCGGGTGGATCGGAGAAACTGGTAACAAAAATCCCTGCGCCCCCCCCCATGCCCAGCTGAGCCGCGCGATCATCAGAGGCTGTTTTTTTTACTTTTAAAAGCATTTTTTATACAACCTCTTCGGCCAAAAAAATGCTTTTAAAATTTAAAAAAAGCCTCTGATGATCGCGCGGCTCAGCTGGGATCATCAGAGGCTTTTAAAAGCATTTTTTCTACAACCTCTTCGGCCGAAGAGGCTGTAGGAAAAAAATGCCTTTAAAAGCCTCTGACAATCCCAGCTGAGTTGCTTGATCGTCAGAGGCTTCTAAAACCATTTTTTCTGCAACCCCTTTGGCCGAAGAGGCTGTAGGAAAAAAAAATGCCTTTAAAAGCCTCTGACGATCCCAGCTGAATTGCCTGATCGTCAGAGGCTTTTAAAAGCATTTTTTCTGCAACCTTTTCAGCTGAAGAGGTTGTAGAAAAAATGCTTTTAAAAGTAAAAAAAAAAAAAAGTTGGCCACGCCCACCCAGTCACATTAACCCCACCACCAAGCCATGCCCACAGAACCGGTAGTAACAAATTTTAGATTTCACCCCTGCTGATAACCACGATGGAGTGGTCACTGACCTCGAGCCAGACATCCTA